GAGGTTGTTCGAAGTGTCGGTGGATGTGTGTCAACGAAATACCGGCTGGCAGACGAGTTACCGTACTGAGTGAGTGTTGAATGTACCTTCGGTGACGTACCTTCGGTCCATAAACGAGTCAGGTGGCGACGAGACACCGTACTGAGTGAGTGTTGAATGTACCTTCGGTGACGTACCTTCGATCCATAAACGAGTCAGGTGGCGACGAGACACCGTACTGAGTGAGTGTTGAATGTACCTTCGGTGACGTACCTTCGGTCCATAAACGAGTCAGGTGGCGACGATATACCGTACTGAGGGATGGCTTTTTATCCCAGTCAAGTGCGTGACGGAACGAAAGCGAATCCTGGCACCTTTCGGTTGCCTTTTGTGCCATAACGAATTCACTATTTAGACAGGGAAAAATTCTGGCGGCGAATGAAGTTTTTTTCTTGTGTCCCTCGAAGACCTGCAAGTGAAAACGCTGTGCTGACTCCCGTTGTGTTGGCTGGCTTTGTAGTGCCTGTGACATTCAACAACCATCTACTGGACCTATGTTCTGTTGATAAGTGGCTGAGTCGACCGACCTCAAGGATGTACGCGAGCGAGTATAATGTTTGGAATGGTGCTGATATGTGGGTGATATCGGCACTGGGCGATGAGCTGAATTGTGTCTACCCGCAATACCGTGTTATATTGGGAGGCCAGTGTTCTGAAATTCCGAATGACTTCAATAGCCATGATGATGATGATGATAACTACCCATCGTGGCAGGATGATTTCATTAAGCTACTGTGCAAGAGCGAAAAACTTCAGAGTTGCCTAGCGACAGTCCTTATGGACTTGGCGAAACGTGCTGAGAGAATGGTTACGCATTACATTAAATGTCGGTATTTCGGTGACATTCTTGAAATAGTAAATGACAATCGTTATAATGATAGCCACGTAAAGTGCGACTGTGCCCAGGAAATTGCTTTCAACCGTTGGCCCGAACGAAGCGCAGACTTTACAGAGCTGGCAGCGAGCTACAAGTGTTTACACACAGTGGAAGAAGACGGTGCGACTGTATGCGTACCAGCTTCACACCTCACATGTAGACCTTCGAAAGTTTTAGAAAATGTTGTTAAATGTACCAAAAAGATGGTCGGGTTAATCGACTGATCCGGTGAGATACGACGGCTGATCCGCACACTGTTTTTGTCAACAAGTCCTCGCCTGACTTTTCCTCCACAAGTGAAACCGCATTAACCTTGAAACAGCTTTCCACATCGAACTGACACTTAGACGCATCGAAGATGCGTAGCGCAATCAACTCCGGTACCCCCAACTCCGGTACCCCCAACTCCGGTACCCCCAAGTGTCAAGTCATCGCCCTTGAACTCCTCGCTGGAGTATAGTATCCACCGACTGTCTTTGGTAGCCGACGTCGCCTTCAATAACGCCACTTGCTCCGCGTAACAAGCCTCTGACGGCAACAGCGCCATCCTCCTTCTCTAAACCCAACTGACGAGCCAGGGCGGTACTCACGATGGACATAGTTTCGCCCGTGTCCAAAAGCGCTTCCACCACCGCTCCGTGCAGCATCACTCTGGTGGAGCACTCGTTTTTTTCTTTTCTCGGCGTTCCTTGTCGACTGTGCGTTTCTTCTTTTCCAGCTGTTTGATCTTCATCGCCGCTTCTAAACGCTCCCCGTAGGGGGCCTTCCTGGAGTTCGGCGTCAGTGTGCTAATAACCAGCTGGTTGCCCTTCTCGTACATCTCGATCCCCAGGCTGCTATACCCGCTGTCAAAAACCCGAGCCCGACAATCCTTTGTCCTCGTGACAGTTACTACACTCCAAGCCCCTCTTGTGGTCAGTTACTTACTACACTTCCAAGTTCTTCGTCAGGTCACACATTAGCCCTGTGGCCGTTCTTGTGACACTATAGCATTCAACCAACTCATCACCTTGCCGCTCCAAACTCTAATCCCATCCGCTTTTCCGTCGCGTCCCCGAGGCCACTCTGTCACTAACAGCTACCGCAGGGCACGCTGTTTCGCTGTTCTTCATACGTAGTCTCTGGCTTGTCTTGCTCTTCGCCATCATCCATTGCAATAGGTCCTCTAGGACCGCAAAGTCATCAGCAGTCCCATTCTCATTGAGCGGGATTTTTGCTCTGCACCAACGACAAAACATACTCATCCTT